GCAGTGGTGGTATAATTGCAGGACTTCGAGGCTGACTCCTTCTCCAGCTGAAGCCGGGATGGTCCTGCCAGGGCCTTGAAGATGGTTACACACATGGAGAGAAACTCAAAGACGCCCATGTGGTGGGAGAGAGAGCTGCTTCTGGAAGCTCCATGGTCCTGCTGCAGGTTCTGGAATTGAGGGGTGAGTCAGGCAGGTCACTGGGGATAGAAGAGCTGATGGCGAAGGGAAAAGCAGTTGCAAAGACCATAGCTCAAGAACACACTTGGCCTACTAACGGCACGCCAAGAAGATACGTGGGGTGAGCACAGTAGGCCAGGGGAGGAGTGGCAGGAGTGGTCAGGAAGGGAGTTAGGAAAGAGCACATTACAACCATCCAGGGAGTTTTAAAAACTCAAGATACCCTGGCACCACCCCGTGGTGTTTCATGTTGACTTTTAGGTGCTCTGGGTTCTCCACTGAAAAAGAAGATTGTTGTTGCTGCTGTTGTTGTTTGTGAAGAAATATTTGCTTTTTGAACTTGCACTGAACCAAAGGCCATTAAAGTTCAGACCCTCTCTGGAGAGTCTGTGTGAGGAGAATGAGAGAGCATGCCTTTAAAGAGGTTGTTTCTTGCCTGGGAGATCCAATAGGAAAATAGCTGGCCTTGTGGGGAGGCTGCACCTCTTGGCAAGGTAGCCATCATGATGAGCTTGGGTGAGGTGGTTCCATGAACATGGGTTCATGTAGGAGTCAGGCAGGAAAGTTCAGAGAGCAGCCCTGGCAGTAGTTTGGCATGTGAAAGATGTCAAACAATAAAGTAAGTGGTGACAGAGCTTTTCCTCCTTGCTCTGAAAACTCCCTTTTCCCCCTTTGGGCGTAGAGTATGCTTCATCACCTCTCTGTCTCCTCTTTCTCCCTCCAGTCAAATGGCAGGTGTGGAAAACCATCCAGCTCTCACTCTTGGATGTTGTGGCAGATGGCAGCAACAGTATCTCCCATCCCACAGGTTGCTCTTACACGTTGACCATGACACTCCTCCCACTAGGTGCTGGAGTGTGTGCTCTCTTCCCTGGAACTTCCATAGACCTTTCGACTGCCTCAAACAATTGAGTATAGTAGAAGAGACACCACATGACTCCCGAGGCTAAATAAAAAAATATGCCATGTACTTCTCCCTTCTTCTCGGGGGACACTCACTCTTGGAACCCAGCTGCCATCCTGTGAGAAAGCCCAAACAAGCCCAGGCAGAGAGACGCCATGGAAGAAACCCCCCGTAGGCGTCCTAGTCAACACCCCTGCTGAGGTCTTAGTCAAGTGCCAGCATTAACCACCCATATGTGAATGTAGCTGCCTCCAGATGATTCCACCCCTAGCTGTTTGGTTACTCCTGGCTTCCTGGTCGTAGCTGATGCTCCAAACATTGTGAAGCCATGTTCTTTCCAAATTTCTGAGTCACTTAGTTCAAGTCTCTGCTTAAATAATACCTCCTTGGAGAGCACTTCCCTGACCACCTTTGTCTAAAATGGTATTTTTTAACAAATTGAGATACAATTGACATATAACATTATATTAGTTTGGGGGGTATAACATAGTGATTCAATATTTGTATGTATTGCTAAATGATCGCCTCAACGAATCTAGTTAACATCCATCACCACACGTAGTTACTAAACTTTTTTCTTGCATTGAAAACTTTTAAGATCTACTATCTTGGCAACAATAAAATATACAATACACTATTATTATTAGTTTTACTTTTTAAAATTTAATTTAAAATTCCAGTATAGTTTTATATTAGTTTCAGGTGTACAACATAGTGATTCAGCACTTCCATACAACACCCGGTGTTCATCACAAGTGCCCTCCTCAATTCCCATCACCCATTTCACCCAACCCCATCCCCCACCTCCCCTCTGGTAACCATCAGTTTGTTGTCTATAGTTAAGAGTCTGTTCCTTGGTTTGTCTCTCTCTCACTTTTTCCCCTTTGCTTGTTTTTGTCTGGTTCTTAAATTTCACATATGGTATTTGTCTTTCTCCAACTGACTTACTTCGCTTAGCATAATACTCTCTAGCTCCACCCACGTCATCGCAAATGGCAAGATTTCATTCTTTTTGATGGCTGAGTAATATTCCATTGCGTACAATACAGTATTATTAATGCTAGTCACCATGCTGTACACAGCATCCCCAGGACTTACTTATTTTATAGCCGGAAGTTTGTATCTGTTGACCACCTTCACCCATTTTACCCTAAAATGTTGTTATTGATTATTTTCTATCCTCTTCTTTTTTCCCTTCATAGCATTTATCTGGTAAAAATACATGTTTGTTGGTTTCCACTGCAGGCCTCCCACAGAGGAATGTAGGGATATTGGTACTTAGACAATTTATTAGATCTGTGCAATAAATGTTTGTGGAATAAATAAGGCTTGATGATTACTACTAGTTCATTCTCCCAGAGTCATGTCAGACACTGGTAAGCAGCCCCAGCACTCTCTGCCCTGGAGCCTGGATTGTGCCTCAGAATACGTCACAGCACAATCATTCATTTTACTGATCTGAATTAGCAGATGACATTAAGCCTATTTTCTATACCTGATCTATAGCATTAATTTTGACATGTTCATTTATTATTTTATTGTTGTTATTTGGGCGTGTCCAACCAGACACTAGATACTCTCTGGGGCCATAGAGTGAGTCACATACTATTTTTAGCACATAGTAGTTCAAAAAGTCCTAGATTAATTGGAATGATTTGTAATAATCATCAGATCAACCCTTTACCAAGGTAGGAGGAAGACTAAATCAGCATATGATCCATGAGGCTTCCCAAGATAAAGAGATAAATACTTTGCACCATAGCAGTACAAGAATTTTGAAGACTGAATGAAAGGAAGATACTTCCCCACAAGTATGATAGATGAAAAAGTCAGTTCTGATGCCAGAGATTTGGGGTTACAAGGTATTCAATATGAACCTTTGTAGGACTTGAAAAGTCGACTTTTTCACCTAACCCACCACAAAGCATCCAGACCTTCATTTGCATCATCTGCTTGCTTTTGGTATGATGTGGGACAAATGGAATTTATACAGGGCCAGGCCTAGAAGCAGGGATCAGGCTTGGGGTAAGTGAGAAGGGGGGTGGAAAAGTGACAGCTGGAATGCATTCCTTCAGACTTGAAGATCAAAGGGACCCTGTTTACAGATTTTGCTGGGAATGGGTGATCTGTTTTAGGAGAAATGAGATCTGGAATAATCATCAACCTGGAAGGCCCTGACTTTCTGGGTGGATTTTGGGTCAAGACATTCTCAATAGAAGCATGTTTTCATGGCTGTCATCTGAGGGCCTCACTCATGCCAAGTGTTTTTAAGACAGGAGAGATATGTCCTAATTGGTTATGAATGCAATCATTTTTGCTTCAGGACATGCATAAGAACATCCTCATTGAAACTGAGGATGAATACCATTTTTTTGGAAAGAGCTAGTTTCAACAAAAATCACCATCACACAGAGACATCATCCACTCCTGTTACCAATACATCTGTCCATCAGAAACAACCCAAACTATGAACAGAAAACAAAAGGGTAAAAAAAAAAAAAAGAAAACAAAAAGGTATGCCAATGGGATGAGCTCAGATATTTACCCCTCCCATACATCCACCCCGGTAAGTTGTAAGAAGATATATGGATCAATAAAACCATTTTCTTCCCCGCAGAATGTTGGAATAAAACCAGAACAATGATCCAGGGGGAGACACTGCCCTATGGCTGCAGCAGGAAGGGTTGCCTAGCATGTGGGCATTTGGAGGAATGCTCTGTTAAACTTCGGAGTCAGGTCTAGATGCCAATGGTTAGGCTGTAGGTGACGACTTTACCTCAGGTCCTATGGTAGGCTCAATAAAAATCAGGCAGTGAATGCCATGAAAATCAAGCAGTTCATATTGATATAAAAATTGTAAAAGTCTACCTTAAATCTCTAGTCTGTGATCATTTCTCCTGGACTGAATCTTTGGAGGTGGGGAGTAGAGAAGATCGTGATATCGAGGGAGAATCAGAATTGCCATCCTGAGCCTTTTCCAGAATTGCTGGAGTCTATAAACGCTGTGTGGCAGATATTTGTTTAGGTTCAAGTAAATAATTATTAAATTTGTTTTGCACAATGTAGGGAAAATCAATGACGTCCTTTCAAATAAGTTCTTGTGTACATTTTGGGGAGGATGATTACGTTTGAGATTCTCTAATTTTGGCAAGCTAATCCAGATGGATTTATCTACTGGTGGTCTTCAAAATGATTTCAGTAGCTTTCTGACACAGAAGAAAGAGGATGCAAAGCTTTTCATCCATATTTACTCCCCAGCATATGAAACTTCCATCAGTGTGCCCATTAAATTGTCCAAATGGTTTTCCAGAATTTCAACATAGAGGTTGGCGGGCAGATGAGTCTATTCTCCTCCCCGATGCCCTTGAGTCCTTCTTACTTTTCTGAGTGTCCCTCCACGACTTCTGTGTTCTTCTACTTACCTTTAACAACCCACACCTGTGACTCTCATGGGAGGATTTCCTGCAGGCTTCTGGAGCTACATCCCTCAATTCTCCAATGGCTGATAGCCTTAAATTGCCAGGGGTTTATACTTACCCCCTGCCTCTCCCTTGCCCAGGGCACTTAGCCTTGGACCACCATTGAAGGAATAAGGAAGCCAACCCTGAGGGGTAGTTTATACTCCAAGCATGCCTTAGGATCAGGCTAAGGGTGGGACTACCTGAAATTGTCCCTGCTTGGCTTTGTAGCTTCCTCCTTCCTTCTTTTCTCTTGTTGGTCTCACCTAAGGGCACTTCCTAAGTGAATCACTTGAATGTGAATCTTCATCTCAGGGTCTGCTTCTGGGGAACGCATTACCGTCCCCATAAGGTAATGTGAGAATTAAATGAGACAAATGTATGTAAAGCACTTATCATAGTGGTTGGCCATAATATATATACAAAAATGTGAATTATTATTATTATGGCTCTCACAGCAGTTTTTTGGACTCTGGTGGATTGGTGCCAAGGCTTGGAACATCAATTCAAGTGATGGCATTATGATGAAACACTTGAAGAAGATTGAAAGAGCATGTGAAAGGTTATCCTAACACACCAAGGCCTCACCACCCAGGCTGTCTACACAAATGTAAGCAAAATGAGAGCAAGGGTAACTAGCAGTACAGAATTTGCTGGGGAGATAGTCCAAATTATTATTATTATCATTAAAGATTGCTAAGCCCATTTCTCTAAGAGTTGAAAATGTCAAATATTTGGCCATTAACTATGACTACTTATTTTTAAAGAAATCTCTGCAATCTGTAGAGTAAAAGGCTATTTTTGCAGTGGTGACAGTGAAGTCCCCACATCCCAGTGGGGGCAGGGCTGGGGGAGAAATCACAGTGGTTTGAACACTCTCCATCTGATGAATTAAGAGGTGTTGCTCTTGATTTACCACCCACGGTGGGGAAACTAGGAAAAAGGGAAGTTTCATATTCAAGTCGATAGATTCCAGAGAATTCAAGTCATAAAGAATCTGAAAGTCTCCCGGAACAGTTTGAACAATCTATCGAATTTGTACTGGCACATTACTCTTTCTTTAGGCTTCATGTGACATAAAATTAGAAGGCAACCTTCAGTGCGCATGCAAGCTCACTAGGGATTCTTTAAAGGCAGAACATCGGGAATGTTGGTGTTCAAAGGGCTCTTGAGAAGCCATCTTGTCTCCTTGCCCTTCATGAGGGTCACGTGACACGAAATGCCAGAGCAAGAGGGGACTGATGATCTCATCCCAGTAGGCAACAACTTCCACCATCGGGAGAGCCTTGTAAAGCCCCTCAGGTGGCAGGGAGTTAAGCCCCAGTTTCTCTTCTGATGGGCCAGAGGACACACAGCCAGGCTCTGGGCTGGGTCAGAACCTTTTCATTTTTTGAGTCCTGATTTCTCTAGAATCGTATCAACTGAGTGCAGGGAAGGATTTTCATCACTCGGTCCACTCACCAATGAGTTCCCATACATGTCCATCAGCTCAGAGGCTTTGATTCCATCTATCTGGAGTGAGCCCTAGAATCTTTTTTTTTTAGATCTCGACCCCAGGGTGTGTGCAAGGGGGTTCGTGGGCAGTGCCAAGGAGTGAGAAGTGACTAGTGTCTCATCAGCAGTGGGATTGGAGATGAGATGTGGATGCAGCCCCAGGAAGCACAGGACTGGATGCACAGGGTTCTGGGGCTACAGTGTGCAGATCAATGAAATGTATTATGTAATGATCACATGCCTGAAACAACACTGTATACAAGGATAGCCACACATGTAAAGACATATATTGAACATGTTCTGGGACTGGATATTATGGAAGAAGGAGGGACTGAAGCTGATAATGCTTAAGCCCTCAGGGGCCTTGAGGAGCCTGGTTAACTAGAAATCTTCGCATCCAAAAATAAGGAAAAAAAAAGTGACTGGGAGGAATGAAAAAGAAAGTGTTCCAAATGAATCAATCAGAGGCTCAGCCAACTTTGGCCTTGGGGTGGTGCCGCTCTTATTCCATAGAGATGGGGTGCCCCACGGAGGGGGAAGCCTCTGGAAGAGTGCCGCACCCTCGTCTGTGCCCCCACCACCTGCCTTTTCACTCCAGCTTCTTTTTTTCTTTCACTTTCCCATGGCTCTTATTTTTAAATTTTTGTTTGTTTTATTCTTATTTTCTAGTTTTTAAATCACTGTCATGAAGCATTAAGCAGCAAGGTGGGCACTTGTTTTAAGAGGAATGAGGAAAAGCCCACATTGTTCTATGCTGTAACACACAGTGTTATCCTCTCTCAGATTTCTTACCTCGATGGTCACAGGTTCATATACCGAGTGCTTACTATACGCCAGGCGCTATGCCAAGTGTTTTACTTAAATTGTCTCATTTAATCTGCACCAAAAACTCAGTGCAAGCCATTCCTGTGTTTTAGATGACCAAAGCTTAGAGAGGTTGTGGATCTTTTCACACAAAAGTTAAGCTTAACAACAACAACAAAAATTTAAGCTGAACAGCCCCTGGGTAAATATCCACTCTAACTGGAACTACCATGAATCATCAAATCAAAGGGATGTTTCTTTTTATTAATTTGGGAGGGAATAAAAAAAGATGCCCCAACTTTGGTTGTGTCAACCTTAAAAATAAAATAGCCAGTGATTTTATTAGCAAAATGAGTTTATTCAGGAATAGCAGAGTTGCAGTTCAGCACATGCAAGCTATGAGGAACCATAGGAAGTCGGAAGAGACCAAGGAAAGGTCATCTTTTATTAGGTTTTAGGAGGAAATTGAAGAGCGTTGTTTTATTTGTTCATTTATTAAAAGATTTATTTATTTTGGGGGAGAGAGAGAGAGGGCACACAAGTGGGAGGGGCAGAGGGAGAAGGAGAGAGAATCTCAAGTAGACTCCGCACTGAGCACAGAGCCCAACTTAGGGCTTGATCTCATGACCCTGAGATCAGGACCTGAGCTAAAACCAAGAGTGGGATGCTCAACCAACTGCGTCACCCAGGTGTCCCTGAAGAGCTTTGTTTTAAACAACAATTCACTGGAGAAGAACATGAATTTAAGGTTGTGGTGGTTTCTCATTGGCTACAAGTGGGAGGTTAGTGCATTGTTGCTGGGGCAGAGAGGGATCTTCCTTGTTTTTCTTAAAAGGGGGAGATGAAATTCCTATGTTAAAAATGTCCTTCTGTCAAGATAATTCTTTCTGTTGTTTATGGAGGCTGCACCCCCTGCCTCCCTGATTCCATTTTATTTTTTATTTTTATTTATTTTTATTTTTTATTATTAGTTTCAGAGGTAGTGTTCAGTGATTCATCAGTTGCATACAGCACCCAGTGCTCATTCCATCAAGTGCCTTCCTTAATGTCTATCACCCAGTTAACCCCATCCCCCCACCCTTTCCCCTCCATCATTCCTCAGTTTGTTTCCTATGGTTAAGAGTCTCTTGTCTCTTATAGTTTGTCTCCCTCTCTGATTACGTCTTGTTTTATTTTTCCCTCCCTTTCTCTATGCTCCTCTGTTTTGTTTCTTAAATTCCACATATGAGTGAAATCATGTAATTGTCTTTCGCTGATTGACTTATTTCACTTAGCATAATACCCTCTAGTTCCATCCATGTCATTGCAAATGGCAAGACTTCATTTTTTTTTGATGGCTGAGTAATATTCCATTGTGTATACATATGTGTGTGTGTGTGTGTGTGTGTGTGTGTATCACATCTTCTTTATCCATTCATCCCAACTCCATTTTAAATGAGGTTTCCTTTATTTATTTTCACAGTGGGTGTCCAAGCAGAGAGAAGTGAATCAAGTTCTTTCCTCATTGATTGCCTGAAGAATCGAACAGTTCTGGTCTTTGCGATTGAGAATGTATTCAGACTCAAAGAATTCAAATACTCCTTCCATGGGGCCACATTTGGGTACCCCTCATTACATCTGCATTTTGCTGGATATCGAGTGACCAAGATGTTGTATTCCTAGAAATTTTAGTAAGCAACAGGAGTGATGGCTGACAAGTCACTTCATGTCTCTCACCATTGTTTCTACCACTTTCATGTCTGTGTTTCCACCCAAGAGTTACTGCTCCTAAATTATTTCCATATTTTGTACACTATAGTCTAATGATATCTAACTGGTGAGGCACCTGCACAGAAGCCCAGAGAAAAAACATGCATCTGCGTTGCTTAAGTGAAAACACCCCATTTAAAGGTGCTATCGGCACGAGAGAATTTTCAAATCCAGCCAGAGAGAATCAGCACAGCTTTTCCAGAAGCGTTGCCTTTCCAGGTCACAGTGCCTTTTCCTGCTGCATACATCACCTGCCCTTTTTTTTTTTTTTTTTAACGTAGGCTCCACGCTGGGAGCCCGATGCGGGGCTTGAACTCATGACCTTGAGGTCAAGACCTGAGCCAAAATCAAGAGTTGGACACTTAACTAACTGAGCCACCTAGGGGCCCCTACATTGCCTGCCTTCTAATTGGAAATTTAAGAGAGCAAAGTCTTCCTCTGAAAATAAATTAAGTCATGAGAGATGGAGTTATGTCAGAACTTAGCCTTTGGAAGAAAGAGACGACATCTGTATCTCAGAATGCTTAGTGCAACCTCTATAGCTTTCGTCAGTCATCTTTCTGGTTTTTTTCTTTCTTTTTTTAAGTTGTCCTTAGCTTTTCCCCCCCCTCTTTGTTGCACTGCTTCTTCCTTACTTACACACAATCTAACCCAAACACATTCTCCTTGGCTAACTTTTAACTCTGTATTTTTTATGCACTGGTCACATTCTATTAGAAAAGAGGAGCTATTGCTACTTGTCCACTTGTATCCAATTAGGGTATTTGATTAAAGAAATACCCAATTTAAGAAAAAGCCTGGCAAATCTTTAGTTTGCAGAAGAGCATTCATTTCCGAAATGCTGCGCTCATAAAATAAGTTTCCAAACTCAGGATTCATTTCATTTTTTCCTCTGACTAGTAGAAGTGAATGTCACAGTGATGAAATTCAACTGATATACCATACAATGGAAGCAAGTGTGAAAAAATTTCTTAGAAACATTGGAGTCTTGTTTTTGAGTGTCCATAAAGAAAATACTTGAGTTACCTTGAAACCAGTAGGATTTAAGGTTCCTATAATGCCAGTGCAGGGTTATTGAAATCTTTGATGATTTGCCAGGCATTGCTCTGGGAGAAATTTAGACCAGTGCTTGCTACAGGTAAGACTCCACCGGTATGCATTATGTAAGCGGTGCCATGATCTGGACCACCCACCTCTGAAAGGTGTGGGAAGGTGTTGGAAATCTCACGGTCTTTTCTCTGCAGTTATTTTGTATAGTTGTCAACCCCGTTCCATGGAGTTATAGGGAATATGCCACTCAGAGGAGTGCCCAGGTGAGATCTGCTTGGAGACCCTTCTTCCCCCTGAGTTCGGGTAAACAGTATGCTACCTAGAAGTTCAGAAATTGCAGATTTTCCCAAAATCCTTCTTAGATCTGCTTCTAAAGAAAAGGTTGACTTCATGAGCCCACGATGCAACCTTTCACTTCATTGCTGGCAGAATTGTCCAAAACCAAGATTATAAGAAGTTCTTTAGGCTACAGACACCATTTCTGTTTTTTCCAATGTTCTACCATATGTAGTGACATAACTGTATTATCCAAGAGCAAAAAGCCAGATCCCTCCTGTATATGGTGGCACTGGAAACTCTGCTGGCCGAACCAAAAACAGAGATGACAGTCATTGAAGCTGCCTTGTTATGGAAGCATACATAGCCCCCATGACCCAGCACCTTTACGGTTTTGTTAGTTTTCAGAAAAAGCTATTTAAGTCACACACATGATATTTTGGTAGTCCTTAAAAAAAAAAAAAAAAAAAAAAGAGGCATTTTATAGCTAAACAATTTTATTGGCTTTTTGTGAAATAAAAAACACGAAACAAACCACCATGGTTAAAGGCCATAATCAGCATCAACCAAATGAACCAGCCACTTGGTTACAGTAGCTGATAACAAACACTAGTGGATATTATTGCTTATACCCCAGGTTCATTTATATGTCCATTATGTTTTGGCAAGATTACAATCACATGGGAACTTTGGTTGTATAAATTCAACTCTGACCACTCACTAAAAACTCAACTTCTACCATTTTATGATGGGATATATGTCAATTCTTCCTGAGTCTTGACATTTATCCTCTCATTTTGTCTCCTTTCTCCTTCTGCTAATGATTTACAACCCTATTGACCAAAACTTAAAGTAGATGCATTTACAACCATCCATTTCTACTCTACTGCCCTCTCCTTTGTCATGAGAGGGTGAGGCATTCCTGGGCCTCTCCAAACTCTTGGATCTGGTGTGTATCCACCGCCAGTAATAAATGTCCATCTGTAATCTGGGTAGATTTTCAAATGCATATGGTTGTCAACATTGGGGTTTGGACTCAACTGTCTCTTTTCCAACTTCCGAAAGCTAGGAAAAAAAATCAACAGCCTTTAGCATCAGTAAGTTGACCTCCCGACAAAATAAGCCCCCGCCGCCACCATGCCACATCCCACGGCAGGTATGGCGCTGGGGCCTTAAAATGCTCCGTATGAGTGCTGTAACATTTTAATGTACAGAGAAGCAAGGACTGACTGCCTCTCCAAAGCTCCCCTGCTCAATACCTTCTGTTTTAACACTGAAAACTCAGAATGACAAAGGGTCAGGACTAACTCACAATAGCACCATTTCCTAGACTCTTGGAATAAGATTCCTGTCTGCGTTGGAGAATGCAGGGACCCCAGACGACCCAGCCTCCAGCTTTGCACCTTCACAGGCCCTGCTGACCTTCAGCAGGGGTGGGCGGTCTGCCTCAGCCTACTCCTACAGCGGCCTGAATTTTCCCTGGGAAGAGTTAAAAATGCGTGTCTTACAAAGTGAAGTTGGCTGCAGGTGAGAGACCTGAGGAAGCCTGTTTCCGTGGGTGAGATGTGACGAGCCTGCAGATGATGGGACAAAGGCTGGGGATCCCTTCCCTTGCCCATCTCAGTTCAAGTCTTTGAAGAATCTGCACGCAGAAGCATGGCAAGATCGAGGAACACGGAGAGACACAAACCCTCACACAGCCACCCAAACACCAATGCTCTTACGGTATCTCTTGGGTTCAGGTCCAGCGGTGGGTTTGCCCTGGATAATGCTGGGATTGAATAAGCCCTTCTAATGATTATAAAGATTATCCTTTTGAATCTGGACATTTTAAACAACAGAAGACTTGGTATCACTGTATTTTACATGGCACATATAACCATATAATTACTAGCATTTACACGGCAAATATTGTAAATACACATTCTTGGAGTTGACTTGGTAATTATACCACTGTTATTCGGCAGAACAAAGATTAAACACTCTCTAACTTGCACTTGGGGGAATTTCGTTCCAACCCTGTACTTCACAACCAAAGGATAACCCTCTAATTATGCAATAATGCCTGGTGGTCATGTGGGCCAAGAGCATCACAGGGCGATTTCATGGTTAATTTGCGGCCTGTAAAATAAAGTAATACATAGTATTTTCATTTCAACAAAATACAAGAGACCATATAAAAATATTTTCTAATTTGGGACTTTGAAACATGAAAGCTGGATTTTTTTTTCCCTTGGTATAAAAAGAAACAAAGTAACGGACTAAAGTTTATTAAGCCTTCTAACAAAAAATATACATATAAGTTTAAGGAATGCAGTGAGCATCAACTTCCCTTTTTTGTCCAGGCTCATTGATGGGGAGCTTGTGCTTTGATCCCGACAAAGATAAATGCACAACAGTGGAGGAAGATCAGTGCCTGAAACCTGAACTACGACTTATCTCTAATAATAAGACTAATTTTACAGTAGTGCTTTTAAAAGTGGTGTGTCAGATGACTGATTTTTGTCTCTTCCCCCTCAGGCAACTGCTGGAGACGAATTCCAGAAGCACCACTTTCGTCTTGAGTGATGTTTATTTAGTGCAATATCTTCCTTCTCGCGTTCCCTTTTCACACGCTGGTAGTGGTCTTCTTCCTTCAGATACCACACAGGGGGCCAGCGGTGCCGCTCAAAGTATTCCTGGTTGTCTGGTGAAGGAAAGGTGCAGATGATGAGACCCGCTGTGTTTGTCGAGAGCTTCTGTATTCTAGGTTCTGTGCCCCGTGCTTCTCGTATATGCTCCCTTCTACATCCTCCCAACAACCCGGTGTGTGGGGCTTAGGGATCAGGGGTACGACCATTTGCAGACTGGGACACTCAGGTTTCGAGAGTTAGAATCACTTGCCTGAAGCAGCTGGGCACGGAGAACCTGAACCCAGGACCACTTGGTTTCCGAGCGGAAGCCTGCTCCTCGGCATGCCTCCCTAGACAAGGGTGAGCCCACCCCCTCCGCATGCTCTGCGGCAGGGAACCCCGGATCCCGCTCCACGCAAATCTCCCAAGCATGAAGTCCTTCAAAGAGGATTCCTGCTCCACAATTCCTTGCGTCGTGTCACGGGCATGTGACCACCAGCCAATCACAAGGACTTCCCCCGGAGCTGCCTGGGGCCTGTACACCTGCTCAAGGGCACAGAGGGTCCACGCTGCAGTCAGAGCCTGTGAGAACCGGACTGATGGGAACCTGTGTTCTCACCTGCGGATTTCGATTTGATCTCCTTGCGGAACTTGGAACACACGCTGTTGTAGTTGGTGCAGATGTGGTGCAAACACCAGGCGGCCAACTGGTGGGCGTTGTGGAACTACAGGGAAGTGACCAAAAAGGGGGTCAGACTCTACTTTCTAAAGTGGGGCCACAGAGAAATCGTCAGCCACCGTAGGGGTGACAGAGATGATAAAGGGCCCGCGTGACTGATTCGGCAAACCTCTTGTTTTGACTACAGTGTTTTGACTTTGGCTATGGTGCCAACGCCAGCCCAATATAGCGCTTGGCATACCCCTTCCTTACCCCTGTGACAGGTGCACCAAAAATAATCACCGTATCAGATCAGGAGCTGAAAGCACCCCTCTCCACCCAGCCTCCCCTGCCACTGGCCCGCTAGTGACTCATGACTGTGGCCTCTGGAAGGTGCCAGCCAGCAGCAAAGCAGCAACACGGACTCTGGTTAAGGAAGCCTCAGCCACGGAGCACTCCGTGTCGCAGGTCAGAGCTCGCCTTGCTGGGGCCAAAGATCTGAAAAAGGAGACTGAGGAATGTGTACCTGTCCTTTGGTTACATAAGAAGAGCGGGTGGTGTGGGCAGGGTGGCAGGGACCCGACACTCCACAACGACTCCTTTCTGAGCAGATGCTCGGGGGGAGGGAGCAGCTGAGGTAGCTGTGACCAAAACAGACTTGGTGCTCAAAATGCCACAGTCACCTCCCCATTCCTCCCCAAGTTTGGCAAGTCTCCCCCACCCCACACTTTGTCCGTGTCCTTGGCTATCCATTCAGTTTGTGGGTCTTGAGGTTTCTTTGATCAGGCGAAACCCTGAAACCCTACAGGGTGCTCACTCGGGGGCCCACATCTCTGCCATGAACGAAAGGCCCATATAAAAGCTGATGTCCCCAGAAAATAACTCAAGAAACTCTGAGAGTTGCAAACCCAACATTATAGACCATTTTTGCTGGTGCTTCCAACTTCTCTTGAGATCAGATTTCTTTCTGAAAGTAAGACTCGGGCACCGGTGAGCTGGAGTTGGCTTGGATCTGCCCAAGAGCGTCAACGGTGCACATTTCTTCCCTACTCTGAGGTCAGCAATTTCACGTTGTTAAAATTGGTCAGGCGGAGGTGTTTATATCCTGGACGTTGGAAAATGCAACAGATCGGGTGCCACCTGTCCACATGCTGATGGTTAAATAAACCCAGCATGCCACGAGGCAAGGGTCTCGTGAATGAGCTATGGTACAGGAGGCTCCAGCCTAAACTCTTCCTGCCGAGGCTCGTCAGGGCGGGGACCCAGAGCAAAGAGACACAACTGCAAATCACTATATCAAGTAGACTGGCCCTACATGCAATGCTGGGTCATTACATTTTTCTCCAGGAGGAGTACTTACTGGAGAGAGCACAAGTCATAAACTGTGCCCCGGACCTGGTTCGAGAGACCTCAAACTCCAAGTATGGACAACCCATTTTGATGGGACCTTGCTGAGCCTACTGCAACAGATGCCTGTTCTGGGTTTTCACTGTAACCTCTGTGAGGCTGTTTTTCATGCTGGATTTTAATAACGTGGGCTTCTGTCTATTTCTCTGTCTATGATTGCCCCGAGGGCAGAGAATCTGCCATTTATATCCATGTGTCCTTTTGTCTGGGGCAGTGCCCGATGTGTGTGGAGAAAACCACAAATACTCGTTGCGTAAGTCCAAACCAGGAGGCTGCTGTGAAGTCTGATTCTGCCTTTTCCCCTTTTGAATGCAAACCGTTCCTGTGCAACTTGACCTGCTACTTGCCTCCCTCCTCTCCCCGAAACCACCTCCTCTCCCTTGATTGAGAAAGAGCCATTCAAATCACCTGACCTAAGGCTTAGTAAACCTCGGCCCTAACAGAGAGGGAACAGAAAACGGAACCCAATGGGCTGAAGAAAGGACCGAAGAATGTCTTCTTCATTCCCTCAGAATGAAACTCAGTGTCAGTAAACTCAGTGTCAGTCAGTCTATGCCAGGGACGAAGCATCCCACACGTGCAACAGGGTTCTACTCTTCACTGCTCGTTCTTGAACATTCTCTCCCACTTGATTCTCAAAATAATCTGTAAGGTTGATAGGATGTGAATTATCATCCCCATTCATTACGGATAAGGAAACAGAGGCAGAGTTTAGGTTTGTGCCTTGAGTAAGTCATTCGGGACAAAGCTGAAGCCGGATCTCGGGGCCTCTCTGGAAGAGTGCAAGTGTGTACAGGGATTATGGAATCACAATATTGCTATTAACAAATACTGATTCTGGAAAACCCCAGGAAAGCTGCAGTGAGAGGTGGGGCATTACAGGGCTTCATGGAGTTCTAGAAACCGTCTGATCTTGGCCAATATGTGTCCAAGAATTCAAACAAGGAGAGACAGAACCTTCCCCTATCATGCCCCAAATTGTTCTCCCACATGTGAAGCTGGTGCCTCGGGGGACAATAGGGCTGGCGTGGGGTAGGGTCCGTGTTGTTTTCTCAAACGAAGCCCAGCAGGGGGAATGGTGCATGAAACGTGAAACTCTCAGATCTTCTCAGTGTACACAGGGCCCTCTGTGACTCAGTGGTGACATCTTTATTTAGACAGATGCAACAGCGGAATGTTTGATCAGCATTAAATGAACTGGTTGAACACACTTAAAAGGTGAAAGGCAAATTGTTACAAACCTGGGCCAATTCCAAATACGAGAGCACTTCCCCGTCAATGCCCACACCACTCATCGCGGCCTTGGTCAGCTCCTGGACAGCATACTGCTCTGGGGAAGAGAGAGAACGGGAGTAAGTTGAACCATGCCCTTGCAAGCCAGACATCTCACTTAGAGAGTCTGGTCCGGGACCACCTAAGAGGAAAGGAATATGGGACACAGCTCTGGCAGTCATCCGAACTGAACTCAGGGCCCACTGTGATGGTTGGTCTTCCAGCATGGGGAGTTCTGGTCTCTGGCCATTGCACCAATGACTCTGGGACACTTGTTTGCACTTCTGAAATAGCTGGAGTCCTCCAGACCTTCACTGTCCAGTATGGTGACTACTGGCCACGTGAGCCGACTGAAACTTAAATTGAAATGAAATAAAATTAAAAATTCACACCCTCAGCCACACTAGTCACACCAAAGTGCTCAACAGCTACACATGTATTGGGCAACACAGACACAGGACATTTCCATCACTGCAGACAGTTCTATTGGATAGTGCTGCTCTGGATAGTCCAGTGCCTTCCTAGAATCCTCTAGACTCTCTAGTATCTTCCTGTTTGACAGCTTCCCCGCTCATATCACTCCAATTCTCAATAATCTCTGAAAGTGGAAGGACTGAGTAACAGGAATGAATCCATATGGGGAATTAAAAATGTGAATGCAGATGTCTTTCTCAACAGCTGCAGATGGGTAACATATTGTTCAGCTGTTAGATTCTAACGACTGGGGGGGAACCTTCAACTGGAAGTTAACAAGAATCTAGCTGGGAGAGCCAATTCTTCCTGGGAGCTGTGCCCAGGGCTTCTAAGTTGAATCTAAATTGTGATTCTGAGATGGAGTGGTCTCCTGCCTCTGCTCGGGCCGTCCCCTGCCTTTGGGACTGACGCGTGTGGTACAATCTAGGCCCACACTCCTAGCTCCCTGAGGTCGAGGTACTCTTTTCATCTCCAGCATTGCGTCTGTTCTTCTAATCCAGTAAACTGTCCCAACCCTGCTTACCCTCTGTTCTATGCACTTGGTAGTCAACATGCCTCCATGTGGTCAATACGATATCTAGATGGGGATGGTTTCTTTGGCACAATCTTCATCAGTTGGATGGACAAAGAACTATTTGGAACTACATTTTCCAAAGAAGTCATCAGGCTTTTTGATTTTAGTTAACAGCAACATTTCTTGATACTCATTTAACACGTCGGCTCGCGACACATTCTTACCCCAGAAACTGATTTTTAAAAACTATGTTCTGAACACTCTATACTTAACCCAACAGTATAAATGATTACAGGGATCATCTTAGGCAGCTACATATTTAATCCTAGCAGTAACAGTAGCATTTAATAACAAAAGGAAACAGGCTTAGAAGTCTGCAGTTCACACCAGAACCTCTCTTTGATTCAGTTCCTTTCACGGAGAGGTCAGTCCCAAGTTTTCGTCACTGTACTTCATATTTAAGCAAAAATGGCACTAGTTTAAGATTAATCACAAACCTTGTTCGACAGATTTGGTTCCAAATTGTTTTTGACCACATTAAAAAAAAATCAAATTCATCCTCAAAGGATACCTACTTGTAAACACTGAATAGTCAAACAGATCAGAACCTATACTTTTGAAAAAAGGAACTGCCCACTGCAGCCTCCTAGGGTTAACATTTAAAAAGCAGGGCACTCTTGTGGACCTGTGACTTCAGGGTTGTTGGTTAAAAATGGTTTTTAAAAAAACAGCAGTGCTTCAACAATCTCTTTCTATCTTTTTATCCAGTGGGGGCAGAAGTAAGGCAAGGAGAGGACTTGGGTCTCCAGCTGGCTGAGTATAGCAGAAACGTGAAGTCCAGAGAAATACATTTTATTCCAAAGACACCTGCCAGAAAGTGAAGTGCAGATATGACCAGTTGGTTTGTTCAAACATTCATTTTCACTCACTTCCTGATTCAACAGGTATTTATTGGGAAGCTAATAGGCTCAGGCACTTTGCTGTGTGCTGGGGACAGTAGGCCAGTGTACAAAGCTGTCACTATTTCTGCTCTCATGGCTCACAGGGGTCAGCTAATGTAGTGACAAACACCCAGACTGCTAACTGACCCTTCTCGTGAATGAAGCTGAAGGTTTACATTTAGGAAACATGTATGTGAATAATACACGTATCCTATTTAGACCTGCTTCAGCCTAACAACTGAACAAATCCAGAAATGATTTTGGGAAGTGAAGCCAAGTCCCCCTTCCTTCTTTCTCCCAAAATGCTCTTGACAATGTCAGAACATTTTCTAAAATAGCTTTAAAAAAACCACTTACATAATGCTTACTAGGTGCCAGACACTGTTCTGAGAACTTTATATATATCTTAACTCCTTAATCTTTGTAACAACTCTACGGGAGAATAACATGATCCCCATGCTAAAGAGAGAGAGAGCAGACACAGGGTGGTGAAGTGTGAAGTCATCTAGCCAGTAAATGGTGGAGTCAGGATCTGAACCCGAGCAGTCTGGCTCTGCAGCCTATGTTCTTCACCACGGCCTCCTACTGCTCTTTCTTAAAGACTGTGTCTGAGCACACATCAGGGGAATAATATGGACACAATAGTTTTATTTCCAATCCCACGGTCCACAAATGAGGCAGAGTGCACAGAGCATGGGTCTCAAGGGCAGGGATCATGCATCACTCATCTTGATAATTGTGTCCCCCTACAGGGTCTACCACAAAGTAGGTGCCTAAGAAATATCTGTGGAGCTGAATTGGGCTGTCTGATACATTTGATCTACTTATTATCACCCTGCACAAGACAGTCCTATACTGGGTGATAAAAATTTAATTTTTATTCCCTGGAAATGTTATTTTTGCTTAAATGTGATTTTGATAAATTTGACAGTCAGACCCTGCATGATCCTGAGTCATCAGACTTACCTGCAAGTGCAACCAAGTGTGGCAGGCAAAATCTGTTTGCCAAGGCAATTAATTCCAGTGGGTCCAGGTCCAAATTAGGTGACAACTGCTTGGTATAAAGATAATCCAATACCGCTTGCATTGACATCTTGTTTATGTTCGGGAGATATACCTGAAACGTTATTTGAAAAGCTAAGTTCTGCCGAAGAAAGCAGTGGGTGCATTTCCAGGCTATACTGGTTATAAATACCCCAACCGTACAATTTGATATTGGCAAGTCTGGGATACCTGCTTTGAGGCCGCGTGTAGAAGTCATTCGCTATTTATCGCTTCAAACATAACAGTTTGATTTGTAGATGACAAAGGAGTGGGGCTGCCTGACAAAGCCTGATTTGGAATTTTTAAATGGCTATTTGGACTTATAAATCAGACAAATGGTCTGTAATATGGACTCTCCTCACCAAGTACCTTCTAATACTCTATTGTGGGGAAAGAAATCTCCCAGCAACATGACAGGTGTGGGGGGGTAGTGCAAACCGCACTGTTGCTGACACACGATAGAGCCCCGCTCTCTAAGATGTCAAAACAGAGGATGAGCAACCACCCTAGTTGCCGCAGTGACTGGAGTGATTCCAACATTCTACCAATATATGCAAACACGGTATACACACTTCATTATTTTTCCTGTGGCACCACCACACAGATTCAAAATTATTGGAACATTATCAGGTTATCAGTAGATTCAGAGAATCCAGAGACGTCCTTACCTGGGACATGTGGGGAACAGCTGGTTGGGTCTGGTAAACTCTCCTTTGTAGGAATCACTTAATCTCGAGACCTCCTGAGCACCTGCAGTTCTTGCCAATATTGATACCTGCTAGAGTTTGCTAGAGAGCCAGGGCCGGGATCAGTGAGGATGTACATGGCGCAGAAGCACACAGTCAAACTAACCCCACAGGATGGGCCCTGGTTTAGGACAGAACAGCACAATTGCCTTTGACTCCAGGCATGATGATGGTGATAAAAATTAACCTTAATGGGAGGCCTCCTTCACACGTGGTGCTGTGCTAAGCTTCCCACACACAGTATCTAATCTGATCCTTATATTCTCCCTAGGAGGAAAAAACTATTATTTTTGCCATTTTACAGGTAAGGAAACTGAGGTTCACGGAGGTTAGTAGTCCCCTATCCAAGGTCACGGAGTTAGTAAGTGACTGGGATTTGAACCTAGGGAGTACAATTCTATGCTCAGAACCGCTGTGCAGTACAAGAAACCCTTCATGGCAAGGAAGCTGAGGTTTGGGTCACAGTACAATTAAGCACCATATTTCACTAACAGTTCTTTTTTTTTTTCTTTTTTAAAGATTTTATTTATTTATTTGAGAGAGAGAGAATGAGAGACAGAGAGCAGGAGAGGGAGGAGGGTCAGAGGGAGAAGCAGACTCCCTGCCGAGCAGGGAACCTGATGCGGGACTCGATCCCGGGACTCCAGGATCATGACCTGAGCCGAAGGCAGCCGCTTAAACAACTGAGCCACCCAGTGAATGGCGCCCCATTCACTAACAGTTCTTAAGCGTTAGATTTCTAAGTTCAAAAGGATGAACAGTTATTAACTGCCTATTTCTGGTACTTAATAGACCTCTATACACCATATAAAGATACAATATATGATTATATCTCTATTACACATGATTACATCTGCATTATATATCGAATCTTTCCCTTTATGTATATATTACCACCGCAATCGACATGGGGCTCATGGCCAATGCGTTCTGGTGTCGTGGTTCCAGATTCACTTAAGCGATAGCAACCTGTATCATCCTCCTGCACAGCCACCAGCCACCTCAGACCGAATATCCTGGCAGACAGAACTTTCTGCTACTGTATCAAAGGGAAGGCCCCCCCAGACCTTCCCAGAAATAGTAAGAAAATTATACACCCACCCCCTTTCAGACATAGTCGATGAGAACAATTATGATCTGGTAAATAAGCTGCATGGGTTATTACCATCAAGGATTTGACAAGTTTAGAGTTTCTTTAGAGTTTCTAGCACAGCCTCGACAAGAGATACAACTTGGCACGTAGAAACTGTTACTGATGTTATTTGAAAATAAAGAAGCCACTGTATTGTAATTAATTGTTGTTCCAGTGAATCTAACATCAGTTAGACTTGTGTATATGCTTACACACATACATGTTGACACATACATGCATTTATCTTATACAGATCAAGTCTGGATTCGCACAGTTTTCTAGATAATTGAAGTTGTGAAACTTAAAATTTGGGCCATTTTGATAGTGAAAGTATATACATTTTACAAAGTTCTAAGTGCTATAAAGAATTAGTGATCATAAATGTAAACAGTGCCAGAGCTTTCTGTGAAGCCCTGTTCTCAGCTACGGGGATACCTGCTGTTTCGGAAAATAGTGGCTTGGAGGACAAGGAAAGAGGCTGGTACAGGCCCAGGGGTTTGTCACTAAAATGAGTGTGACCTCTGCCAAATCATTCACCCTCTCTGATCCTCGGTGTCCTCATGAGTTATCTGGGCGTTATTTGGAAGAGATGATACCTACAGCTTTTTCTTCTTCACTGAGACTCTGGATTTTGAAGATATTTGGATTACCTTAGCATTTTTTGGTAAGAGTGTGTTCTAAGTCACGACAAAATGAACTTCCTAAGTGAAAAGAAATTATTTCTGGCAGCAGGAGATGACAGATTCCTGTAAGCAGCCCTGCCCCAATACTTCCAATGTCTTTGGCGTGTTCTGACATTTGTAATCATCCATGACCTGCTTTTTCCTTCTTGCATAACACGATGCTAACAGTTTTTTGAAGCGATGGCTTTGTTGGGCAAAGAATGCTTGGGACCCTTAGAGCGAATGAGAATAAACTAAAAGCACCTTTGGAACCTGCACCTTTTTTTTTTTTCTTCATTTTTTTTTTTAAAGACCATTTCTGTGATTTTAATGTTTATGTAGAACAATGGAGAGGTCATTTCATAGAACTTTTAAAAATAATATAAAGCTACATAAGAGATGGAATTAGGAATTTTGCATCCTACCTGCTGGATGTACCTTAAAAAAAAAAAAGTCAGCAAAGAGAATATAATGCTATCCTAAAAAACGTCCCATAGTCCAGTTTCGTTGGTTTAAAATTTTAATTGTGAAAATCAGCTCAGACTATTAGGCTTATAATTAGAGACGGTCTCATAGAGAATGAGAAAGTATTCCAGATCCAGAGCATTGCTTACTGCAAGCCAGGCATGCATTTTTAATGAACCACTTGCTGAGTACCTCTAGGGAGAGAATTATGCTTACTGCTACATTAAAGGTAATGAGAAAAATAGAAGTAAAATACAATGTCTTCTTAAATATTAAGTGACAAAAAATTTTAAAGTAACATCAATGTATATTTTCTTCCTTTCTGGATATGCATGAGAATTCTATTAATGCAAAAAAATAAAAAGACTGAATTTTGAGGGGGAAGTCAGATTTTCACAGGACAATAAAGAGTTAATGGGTGCCCTAGAAAAGGACAGATCCCAAGTGCCAAAACAGGCCTGCATCAGTCATGGAATATTTGCTGAGCGTTTAACTGATGTTCCTCCCTCCCCATGATCCCTCTAACCACACTTTGCGAGGGCTTTCAGGGGACAAAGATTTTTAATCCTTCATGGAAAGAATTAAACAAGAATCCTCCAGGACAATAGTCACCAATATTTCTTGAGCTTCCGTATGTTCCAAGCACCGAATTCTATGTTTATACATGTGTTCTCCTGACTTATCTGCCCTTTGAAGACGGTTTTCTTGTTATCCCCCATTTTACAGAGGAGGACACAGGTTAGGAGAGGGTCGGTCGCTTGCTCAAGGTCAAGCTGAGACTAGAGTTTATCACGACATAACCATTACAGTCTACAGGGGAAATCAAGGGAAGGGGCAGGCAGGGGCACACGTGTCAACAGCTCATGGCATTCTCAACACACTGACTAAAGGGATCCGGCACGGACCCTCGGTTGCTTGGGTCCATGGTCTCTGTCTTCTAAGTTGGGTAGAACGTATCCATACCTCTTAGCCTCAGCTGCCATGTTAATGACCTAGTCTTTCTAGGAGGTCGTGCTACCCAGGGGGCCCCTCCAGGAGAGGCTGTTCCCCATGTACGTGTGCATTCACACTGTCTGCCAAGTTTTTGTTTTGGTCACCTCTCCTGCACATTTTAATCTGGAGCTGATTACGGTCCATTCTGGGAAGGGATAAAGGGGATTAGCATTTGTGAGGTCAGCTCTGACAGTGTCCCTTTGTGCCTGGGTTCCTGACCTTGATCAACTTCTCTGCTGTGTTAATAGCAGGTGCTCGGCCACACAATCAGCACACATTTCAGTGAGCTGGAAAAATAAGGGAAGCCAGCCCCCAGGCCCTTTATCTCTGGGGATGACTGAAGTGGGTGAAATGCCCTTTGGATGAAGTTTTGTCAGTTGGTGGCTTCCCCAGATTTTTTTGGAAGTAAGAGTGAAAGAGTATTAACCCTACCAACATCACAATAAGACTAACGGCAGCTACGTTTACTTAATGCTCCTGGGGTGATTTGCAAGGTCTGACTTTTGTACCCCACTACCACACTGTGGGTTATCATCATGCTTTCCAGACAGGGAGACTGGAGCTCAGAAAGGGGGTCGCTTGCCCAAGGCCACACAGCTTGTAAGTGGAGGAGTTGGGATTCGAGCCCCACATCCTTCACTGGGCGGCCTCCACGACGCTGCTGCTATCTCAGGGACGCGGCTCTGAAACCCCTTTGGTGGCACGGGAAAGACTTGGTTAGTTACAGCTGAGGACCTCCGGATTCAGAAAGGCTGCGAGACACCAAAAGAGGTCATCAGGATAATTCTGACACTTTTTGCCCACACAGCAGACAGCCTTTTGCTGGGGGTTGGTTTAGGAGCAGTGGCAGTTTGTTCTGGAAGCAGGAGGTGGCCCAGGGACCTCCTCCGCCCCAGCCCTCCGGGCTTCTGATTCTGCAGCCCTACTCGGGGATGCAAATGCAGGCTCCTGGGTCACAATGGGAGTGCTCAGATTTCTGCGGTGAGAGCCCCTCACCGCTATTGTTTTCTTCATTTCTTTTTAAAGTGTGGAGAGAGATGCTGAGATATGCAAAACAAGCCTCTTGGGACAATAAACTTGATGGGGTGTCCCCGTGTTTTTTAAAAAAAGATGGTTAAAAAATACTTTCAAAACTCAATAAAAACACTTGCTCTTCTAAAGTTAGATGTGCTTGAGTGGAATTTTCCTTTCTTTTCCAATCGAGTTTGTAAAAAGATGAACGGGTAGGGCCTTCAACATACTGCTTGCTCTGCTCTAAGACTATCCTTCTCCTGGAGATAGGGCCGGTGCCCGAGAAGTGACTCAGTGGCCTCCGCGAGACCGAAGGGAGGCGTGTTCAGAGGAGGGACCATTTGCTCCGTTGCCATCTCCGTCCAGTGAACAGACCCTCGGAGAAGGCAAGTCCAGCCGAGGCTCGGGGAGTGCCGCAGCTCCAGGAGACCGTCCAGGGCATCCCCCATGCCCTGGGGCGTCCCTCACGGGGCAGATGAGAAGACTGAGGCCCAAGGGGGTGGCTTCTTAAGGCCTGCCCTCTGGTCAGGGTCTCAGCTGAGCCCAGGTCGGGGATGACTGAGGAAGCTTTTCACTGCCTTAAACTTCTGCAAGACAGACTCTGCCCCTATTGGATGTGATTTTGCCAGTGTCTTGCTTGGGGACATTTGTTAAAAAGTAGAGCCAATCACGTTTTACAAATGAAAGCAGTGAGCAACAGACACCAGCTCCTCCTAACTGCAAAATTAAGAAGAGGGTGACCTGACCCTCAAACACTGCCTAAGGAACTGGTTCAGGGAAGCAGTTAAATAACTGAAGTCGTCTGGTTACTTAAACACATGCCCATTCACAGAGATACCACTTGGGCTTTTCAGAAGGCACATACCTCACTGTTGGCGCTTTCCACAAACGAGCCCCCAAACATGGCGGCCATCCACCTGCAGCTACAGATCAGCAACGGTTTGTGGGCGCTGATGGCTCCATCATCCAACCTAAACGTCACATCTGCCCAGGGATTGAAGAAACATAACCGTGAGCCAGCTTTGCTGAGAGTTCTGCCCATATTCGTCCACCTACATCTCCTACTCTCTCTTCCATAGCTTTACTTAGTGATTATGTATCAACCTCCACCTTTGGAACACCCAATTCCTTCTATGTCATTCGAGGATTGGGGGTAAACATTTAAAATTGTACAAAAGCTCACAACACAAATTCTCTGAACCATATAGTACCATAAAGGAGAGGAATATGTTTTCCTCCTTACTATGAAAAATTTCAAAATAATAGAACAGTGGAAGAAATAGTACATTGTTAACATTCTGCCATGTTTGCTTTAGCTATATATGTGTGTGTGTGTATAGATAGTGAATATGTGTGTATATGTATACACTTTTTTAACAGATAGCATGACACTTCGAACTACTTTATCAAGAATTTTCTAAAAATAAGAACATTCCTCTAGATAATCATATCATTATCACACCTAAGAAAATGAGCAACGATTCCCTAATCTCATCCATTATCTAGTTCATATTCAAAAATTTCCAATTATCTCTAAATTGTATTTATAGTTTGTTTTTTTTTTTTTAAAGACAATCCACTTGAAACTCCACATTGTATTTGGTCACTATGCCTTTGCATTAAGGGGTGGGCGATTCAATTCATTTCACTTAAGGTCCATTGTTTAATTTACTGCAGGTTTGTAACATTGCTTTTCATTAACTTTCAAGATGGCTTCTATTTCATGATGGTCAATGTTTCAGGTAAAGATTATTTATAAGCTTTAAAATTAATGAACAGACTCAGTAATCAATGACTAAATGTATAGTACTAAATGTGTATCATCATGACAGGCATTATGAAAGATAAAGACAAAACAGAAGTGTCCACATAAATAAAAGTCAGAAAGTCACATTTTTGCAATGAAATACACACACACACACACACACAGAGGGCAATTTCAGAATTCAATAGAAGTGTGTGCAAGCAAATATGTGAGGACACTGTGGCAGCAGAAGGCATGGTCATCAAGGACAAAGAAGAGGTGAGGAAAATATAGAGCAGGGTAAAGGAGTGTGAGAAAGAAAAGAGAGGAGGTGGGCAGACGAGGCACTCCTGACGGGAACGCAGACGGCTCCATCACCTCAAGGATTTCAGGGCCAAAGGGTCAGTGGGGAGTAGACTTGGTCAGGGAAAGGACCCTGAAGGGGAATCATGAGCATCAAGCTGACTGGCTCTGGCTCAGGCTCAGGCTCAGGGGTAATGTGACTTACCTTCGAGAAGCACTGTGATACCATGCTGCTTTAGAGGGAAGCTTGCGTACAAATCCTGCCTGTATATCCTGGGGCGAGTTACCTAACCTCTTTGTCCCTCAGTTTCCCAATCTGCAAAATGGAATAATCTTTAGCCCTTAAGTCTGATAAGTCTGATAAGAATGAAATAGATGGATACATGCAACTAGAAGGGTACATGAAAAAAATAAGCATTTATAACATGTTAGTGATGGTTAGTCTCTCCCTTACTCGTGTATAGCTAATGTTTAATAAAACACAACCAAAGGGATCGATGACTTTATCGTTGGACCTACTCACCTGAGAATGTCCCTTTGCTGAGACACTCTTTTATCCGATTGGCCTTCCTGACATGAAAAGCTTTTGTAATCTCCTGGTTCATGAAGGCTTCCTTGTTCATGATGTTTTCCACCATCATCCTCAAATCAAACATCTCCAGAACCTCTGCAATCTGAGCCAGGCCCACCAAGTCCTTTTCCTTTTCATCCAGTTGTCCCGTGTACAGAAACTGGAGCAGGGTCCGGAAAGGGCCTGGCTGGACGGAGGAGTCCATCCTGACCACGGTGATGGGGCCCACCCGCTTTGAAACGGGATTGACTTGCATCTCCTTGTGCATGCCAACGAACCCCTTGCTCCAGCCTGACAAAGTCTGCGTCTCTGGAATCGAGCTCTCGGCTTCCATCCCCGGACCCTCCTGTTGGGACAGGTTTTGGCTCGAGGACTTCCACTGATTGGTCTGAGGGGTCCTTGGGGTGCCTTCCTCCCTCTCCTCGTCTGGGTCAAGGCTCCATGCCCGCCCCTGGAAATCCCTGCTCTGCTTCTCTTTCTCACCAGCTCCTTCACTCCCATTTGGGGTTTCTTCACATTCCATTAAAAAAAGATCATAAAATTTGGAAGAGGAGGTAGCGAGGTAAATTCGATGTGCAAAGATGTGCTCCTGGTCCTGAAGGACAAACAGGACGTCGGCACACAGAGGATTGTCCAGTAAACAGGCAGCTTCGCTCGTCCCCGTGGAGGGACATTCTGGAACTTTGATGACTGGTGGAGGGGCTTTTGGAGGTAGGAATGGTGCCTGAAGTAAAGGTTTCTGAACTTTCTTTAGGTGGGATTTCCAGAACTGCAGGTGTCTGCGAGAAATCAGCGCTGCTCGGATTGCATTGTCAAACACGTCCTTGATGCCGAATTGGTCAAAGACGCTCGTCTCATAGTACGGTATGCCGAGTTCCTTCGCAACCTCTCGGCCTTTTTCGGGGGGCAGAATATCCCCTCTCTTTATGGGCCTAGAATGGAGGATTTAAAAGTTATAATCGGCCTCATTTTAGGAAAAAAATGGTAATGAGGGCCTATCAAAGCACCTAATAGAACTGTATCTTTAAAGTCCTATGCAGGATTTTTTTTTTTTTTTAAGATTTTTATTTATTTATTTGAGAGAGAGAGAGTATGAGCGGGGTGGGGAAGAGCAGAGGTCGAGGGAGAAGCAGACTCCCCGCTGAGCAAGGAGCCCGATGCGGGGCTTCATCCCAGAGCCCTGGGATCATGACCTGAGCCGAAGGTGGATGCTTAACCGACTGAGCCACCCAGGCACCCCCCTATGCAGGCTTTTAATAAGGCTCTTGAAAAATCTATCAACCTCAAGTCTTCCAACCTTAAGCCTGCAGGAAAAAAAAAAAAATGCTTTCAGTAGTAACTACAGTAACTGAAGTATCAGCCTTATTTACTAGCTATATGATCCTGGGCAAGTTACTTAAACTCTTCAAGCCTCAGTTTTCCCATCAGTAAAATAGGAATAATAATAGTAAATACCTACATTTTAAAGGACTCCTGAGAAGTTGAAATGAGAGACTACGCTAGCCCACAGGAAGTGCCTGACAAATAGCAGCCATCACCCCATCGTCACCGTCATCTTTGTCACCGGCACCTTATGCTTACATTTTGCTTTACAACCTTACAAAGAATCCATATGCTTTTTCTCATTTGAGCCTCACCATAACCCTGCGGGTGTGATTTTCATCCACCTTCTGAAGAAACAGAGGCAGCGAGCTTAAAGGGTTTGCCTCAGGTCACATTCGAAAGTTGCCAAGAGACCTCTGCCAAGCAATTAGAACCCCGTAGTTCTAGACTGGTTAAATGGTTCACATCCAATGGCCCATTAAGTTCCTTCCATCAAGTCTGTGAGCCTTCTTTCATGTCTAACTGCTTCTCTTCTCTTCCACGTCTGCAGTCACACTGTCATCCTCTTTTGCTTGGACTGGTGCATTAGCCTCTTGCCTGTCCTCAGACTCTCCACATTTTAGGCCACAGTGCTCACTGCTGCAGGAAAAATCCTTACATAACAGAAGTATGACTTGCAGCTGTAATTCTTTTTCAAGATCTCCTCTGGTTCCACAAAGCTCATGGAACAAAGGCTATGCCCTTTAGGCTGGCACACAAGGCCCATTACAAGCTAATCAAACCCAGGTAGGCCAAACCTTTGGAAGCAGTATAAGCAGAATAGTGCCGTGACTATGGCATAACACGGTAAATGGGCAAGATGTGATTTGTTGTTCTACTCTTCACAAACACACTCTTGATTCTGAGACATAATGTTAGGAATGGATCTTCCTCAATAAATATTTGGCTTTCAGAATCAAAGGTAATGTGCTTGACAGGTGCTGGTCTTAGGAGAAATACAACACTGGTTAGAAATTGGATTTGAAGACCTGGATGGAATGCAAGGAAAAATGGTAGGGTGTTGTGAAGGTGGAAGGGGGTGCAGGGAAGAAGGCTTAACTTCAAGGTCGGCTCCTCTGGGCATTTTGTGCTCCTGGTTCCTGGGACTGACTTGAAAATCACTAGCTGGTGACACTCTTCAAGGCTTAGTTCAAATACTGCCTCCTTCATGAAATCTCAGAGCTACTCTACAGAGGGGACTGTCCCCTCTCCATCCTCTAGCACCCGTAACTCTCCTCTAGTCCTCCACGTCCGTGGTTGTGAGGCCTGATTGTCTTAGCCGATTCTTTCCCACAGAAAGTTCTGGATGCCAGGGGCAGTCTCTTTCACCGTAAGGTGTGGCTTCTAATGAGCAATGCCTAGTCCACGCATTTAACAGAAGGACTGTGAAAGCCTAACATGAACCGTTTTCAGAAAATTAATCTGAAATGCACCAAGAACATCAGAAATTGTCTAAAGAAAGCACCATTTGCTTTTGCTGTGAGAGTATAAAAAGCTGCCTATACAAAATTTCTGTAATAAGCCTATTAGGCAAACATCAAAGGAAGGTATTAATATCACCATTTTTGGGAAAACTATGCTCTTAGACACAAAATATATATAAAATTATTTTTTCTGAAGGGAATATGGAGGGGGCACGGGTTTTTAAAAACTCTTATTTCCCCCTAAAACTGGTATTCCACATTTTATACAGAGTCAAACAAATCCTCTTTCAGGTTGATTTTTAAGCTTGTGACACTTTAAAAATATAACTACTAGAGACATTTAAAAAACAGTGTTGCTGTTTTGCAACTATAGGTCCATATGATTTTTAAAAACTAGACACTGCCTTTTTGGGAATGAAATATTCTCAGACATTGGACTGAGGAAAATGAGAAGACTAAAAACACTCGGATGTGTGTATCTGTATGAACCTGATATTCCCGGGGCCAGGAACTGTGGCTAATCCCTCTGCACGTACATGAACTTTACTATAATAATCATAATTTCAAGAATGACATTATTATGAGTAGCTAATGATTTGTTTAATGTTTTACAAATTTCAAGACACTTTTATTCACACCATGTCACAGTTGGAGAACTCACTTCCAACAATGGCCAACCATTTTACAAAAATGGGTTCCTTACCTACGAGGGGATGGTGAGCCTGAGAGGGTCAGGATTAACAAGCTAACTTAAAGCACATGGCTGATTGATGGAGTCCCAGGACCACTGAGGAGCGCAACCCTAGCCTACAGAGTCATCTGTTACCTCTAAATTTTAATTTGGCCAGCACAGCAAATCACCGAGTCCCTTGGCTTACCTCGCTAAAGGGCGTCTGGCTCGATTAACAGCTTCGAGATCAGCATAGCGGAGGTCTAGCTGGCAGCCAACCAGAACAACAGGTGTGCGGGGGCAAAAGTGCTTGATTTCTTGATACCACATGGTTTTCACATGATTTAAGGAATTGGGATTAGCGATAGAAAAACAGAGGACCACAACATCAGACCTAAAAGGAAATCACAAAAGAAGCTGTATTGCCTTATCACTTTTTTTCTTTGATCATTATGGTCCCCCCCACCCCATCCATCTAAGGCCATATCATGTCACAATAAAACAAAACAGAACAAAACAAAACCATGGATATTAAAATACATCTCGGAGTCATGCAAACAGCTTGAGAAGCCCCCACATTCCAGTACCAACACAGCCTGAGTTTATTCTCATACCACACTGCAGAACGCCTATGTATCGAAGTTTCTCATGATGTTATTTTACAATACTGATGATTACCCACACTTGATTCAGTCCTGGAACCACAACATGCGGAACTATTTCTGTTTGTCACAAGAAATAGTTTCAAGATAAAATAAAACAATAAAAACTACCTTTTACCAGTTTAAACGTAAAGGCGATGATGACTCAACCCAATGAGATAAAGCAAACAGTTTAAACATTACTGAAAACATAATAGGTATTTGCTGTCCGGGGTCAGCAAATACACAGAAGGATTTCTGCCCTTCTTCCCACTTAAACACACATGTAGGGAGCACAACCACTTATCTGTTTCTGAAAAGAAAATGTCCTGAATTTTCAGGGATTTTGACTCTTTACTAGGGATATGGCAAGACGGTCGTGTTTAACAGAAAGCCAGCAAGACTTAGGTGGATGACTAATAAGAGAATGTCGGAAGCATATTTCTCAAATGTTATATGTGACACACGGCAGGTAAGTGGGGAAAGGAAAAAAGTACTTTATAGTCAATTTTGACATAAGGATCTTCTATTTTTATATAATAACTTACCATTCTAGAAGCCAAAGAACAGTTTTACAAAACAGTTGTTCAATTATGGTGTTTGACAGCTGCTAAAAGGTATCTTTAATAAGAATTATAAACCAATCATTCTAGGTTAAAATATGCTGAATGGTGACTTTGAAAACATTGAGGCAGAAGAATATAAAATAGGAAAAATTATGCCCAAGCATTCAAGACTATCTTGCAGCTAAATTCAGAAATAAACTCTTACAATTTTATTAGATGCTAATTTATTGCCTTTACTGTTTATGTAATGAGAAGAATCAAGTCGATGAATCAAAACACCTTCTTTTTAAATCATTAATGAGCTTTCCCCCCTACATATCAATGAAGACAAACAAATATATCTGGGCAACCATAAAATTTCTAAAAATAATCATTTGCAATGCAGAAAACTGCAGGGTGCTTATATTAAATGTAATTCACAAGTTGAATCTTTAAATTTATATCCCAGAAAAACTGCACCAGTCCACAGCACATACAGGGGAAAATCCTGAGATTAAAATATTTACAAATTATAAAAGAGGACCTAGGACTCAAAGTAGATGAATGTATTAATCTGCATGTATAGAATGTCCTTGAAATAGATATTATCAGAGATTCATAGACACTGGAAAATATATTATGTGTAAAAATATGTATAAGTATATAAATGAAAGGGAAGCATGTCTTGTCTTCAGGATTCTGATTTAGTTAGTGGAATATTCTGTGCACAGCCTTACTTCTAATCAGCATAAATAACGGTATCCAGGAAAGCTAAGAATGCTTTGAATTTTACATTTTTTAGGAGCTGAGTTTTCTATTATTCATAATCCTATTTATATAGGATATCTGATGCAGCTCCGCTCTAAGCTTCATCCCGGTCGTAAAACAAAGCCACCATGAATTTTGGCACAGTGAGATTAACATGGCAATCTGTGAGGTTCAATATTATAGAGAAAGAATTGAGGAAATGGATCCAGTACCTAAATGTAGACTAGTATGTATATGCCTAAAATTGTTCTAATTGGTGCCCATTTCCATATTGAAGCACATGGCTATGAAGGAAATATTCTCAGGGCTTAATTTATATGACAGACATGTAGCTGAATGTCAATTCTGTTATCTAATTTTATGATACAGCATGTGAGGTTTTGAAATCAGAGCTGGCTCTGTTGCCAAGGTTACCGGGATAACACTCATGCCACTGAACACATACTAGTTACTATTCAGTTGACCTGTAAACAAGTACAGACAGGACCTTGGGGGTTGGAAAAAATGGCATCTCTTGATGATAGTAGCATAATGCCAACACACAATACAGGTCCGGAGGGCCCAACCTCTAACTGTGTCGCATCAATATCTCAATGCATGAAATGCTTTTGGAAAGCTAGGAAAAGAATTCAATGTTCTGTAAATATTTTGCCTCAAAAGGATGACAGTTAAAGAGAAGAGGTTGTATGAGAGCAATACTACCTCTGAAGCTAGAATAACTTATTGAATAAAAATTCTATTTGTGTCCTTGGAATAAAGTTATTCTTTTTTCCTTTTATTAATGCACATTTAGGGGCTGGGAGACTGCAATCTCCATTGTTTTACAGTGAGAACGGTTAAAAAATAAGATCCTATTTTACCTACCAACTTGCTTCAGTGTCTTTGGCTTAACCCTTATTGATCTAAATACAAATGCCAAGTGAAGGAAACATTACATACAAATTATGGAGAATCCCATTCTTCAGGCCTGCCCTAATAATGTAGTACCCTAATCCTGATTTTAACCAAAAGGCTGGGAATCAATGGATGTGGTGATGGATGGAGCTACAGAAAGATGCTGTTTTGACACATTCCTCCTTAGCCCAATATTCTTTCCTAACCCCTAACTCTTCACACAGCAGGATCCTCTGCCATATAAACACCTATACAATCAAGTAACTATTTTGAGAATGCCATGTAGTCCCTCTAGATTTTGAGCTGCTTTTCTATCTAGTCAAGGAAGGCACGAGACCTGCAGCTAAGAATATCTCCAGCTTTAGGCAGAATTCCAAGGAACTAGAGATATCAAATAACTTTTAATCAAAACATTCATTCCTGTGTGGAGACTGTTCAGTGTCTGACACAAGCCCGTGTTTAAAAATGCCATGCCTATGAAAGATAACAAGAAAAAGTCAGGTTCTAGCATTTCTACTTCTGTGGCTCGGTTACATTTTTTTACTTGAAGGGTTGAGTTTAAAAATAATTGGGAGGGGGAGGTGTGATGAGGACATTCTCACATACTATGCAGCAGGGTTAGCCTAGAAATGACCTCAGGGTTCCTATTTCAGCTGTAAAAAGAATCTGATAGGGTTTAAATGGCGTCCTACAGCTATTTGGAGTAGAAAGCACAAGAATTTGAGAATGCAGAAGCAAAGCACAGAGTAGACAAAACTCTAAACTCCAGAACTTGAATATTGAGAAGGGGCAGGAAGAGGTTTAGATTTTGTTTTTTGTTTTTGGGGTTTTTTTGGACCCAGCTAAGTGGTTTTAAAGGAAGCCAGGATTACAAAGGATTTAAGAGTGCAGGGTCTCAGTTGCTTACCTATGGAATGTTTATTTTGGGGAGAAAAATGTAATTTCTTTCCCCTAAGGGGAAGATATTAATATAAAAGTTTCACTAATAATCCCCATGGAGTAATGTTTTGATTAGTTAAGTAAAAAAGAATCCAGAGTAAATCTGTGCGTCGAAACAATTGCGAATCTCGCTTCATAGAAGGGTGGGAGGTGGGGAGGGGGGTCGGAGAGAGCCCAAGTCATCCAAAAATGCTTGAGCTGATAAAGCCAACCTCAGTTGTATCAGTTTTTCTTCAGATATTAAACAAACAAGACAACATGTTTTTTCCAGTTATCTTTTAAGGAGACCGTGGGCCAAAGATAGCATGTAAAAAATTGGCAAAGGTATCTGGGTAACATAAGGAGTGTGTGCAACGTTGGGACCAATCTTTGTTGATGGATGCAAGAAAAAAAATCTGAAAACAGTGCATCTTACCCACACATCTCGGCTCAAGCTAGGCTTGAAACAGCCAAGGCCATACAAATTGCCCAGGCCTGTCTTTATAACATCTACAGTGAAAGAGAGCAAATGTGGTGGGAAAAGGTCAGAGAAGCAACCAGAAGGTAAACTGCTTTTCCAATGTGAAATATCAAATTCGTCCTTTGAAGAAGTGGTTGAAAAAGGGTAGACAATCACTATAACACTGCGTTGTTAAGAATGGATTTCCCAAGCTCCTTCCTATCACAGAAGTGTTCTTATCTTCTTGGTTTATTTCGCCTTTTCTAGTCCCATCCACACTGCCACCACTGTCCGGCTAAGGAGCTTCTGCAGGCCTTGAGTTTTCTTATCTGGTTAAGTGGAGAAAAAAATACCTAAGTTATCCTTTATCTAAGAGCCTAGCATTAGGCGAATCTGATGGGCCATTGTGAAGGTTCGTGGGTTCCAGCTGGTCCTCCAGAGAGCTGTGAGCGGGACAGTCAAATGCCCTTCTCCCACGGGCCAATTCTGGTCTTGTCTCTTGCTGATGCACACTTGGTGACCAAGAGTAAACCAACAGTTCTATTTATTTGAGTTTCACTTGGAAGTATCTCCTTGTTAACATACCCTTTAAAGCTTTTTGTTCTGTGGTAGGACCCTACTTCTTTACACGTCAGTACTGCCTACCATTTCTTTTTTTAGTAGAGACTCCCTATGTCCTTCATCTTGGTAGAGATCATGATCACATTTTAATGGGCTTCTTTCCTTTGTCGGTGCGCACAGGTCCCCTTCTGGCCAAGGTTCAAGTAGGAGTCCCTGATCTCCCTCTTTGGGGCTTCAAGCTTCCTTCTCCCCCTATAACCTAGGTAGGTTCTTTACAGAAACATTTTCAAAACCATTCATGTCAACAACACACCTTTCATGCATGTGGTCCTACAGCGCTATGCAAACAGATCAAAACAGCACAAAAGAGCTGGGAGCATGGCAGAGAAAGGGAATGTGTCACATGTGGTTTTGGGAAGTTTTAGTAGGGAAGCAGCCCGGTGTGTATGAGATGCACAGGGAGTTGTCAGTGATCGGTGAACATAACCATCAGGAGATGAATGGTTCTTATGTAAGCTCATACTCATGGAAGATGGAGAGGTCTGTAGGGGAGCGCCTGGCGGGGGGATCTGGGGAGAGCAGGGCAGTACCATGCAGTGCCCTGGAT